ATAATATGACCGGATAAAAAACTTCAACGCTGAGTTTATCGGATTAATTTTCGAAATGAGTATAAGTTACGGTTATAACAGGTAATAGCATAACACGCAACCGCAAATACCGCGCAAAATTGCTGGTACAACAGTAGACATCAGTGCCTAGGTACGGAATGAATATAAAATAAACCAGGTACGTGAAACACTATCTGAAATAATATGCTGGGGCAAGTTAGACTTATCTTTCCCGGAGGTATAACATTTAATCCTCTGATATTAGTTCGTATATATGGTTACTAAAATAGGTAAACATATATATTTGTATGCAAGTACATTCGCTTCGTGATACCTCGCGATATTTATCTATTATTTAATCTAGACAAATTATCATCCGTCTTTAATCGGTATTCCGGGTCAATATTACAGCTAATAATGCATTCAATATTTTTATCTATGTATTATTTACAATAATTTACATAATGGTACGCCAGATCACGTTCCAGCAAGCATGCCAGTATATCTTAAACCAATTAATTCATATTTTCTCACCACTCAAAAGTCCTCTTTTTTAGTCCTCTAAAGATGGGACGCTGATATTGATTAGGTCTATAATATAAGCATTTTTGAAAGGGTGAGTTTCAATGTTAGTATATTTGGTACTCACTCACTAATCATCAAAATTGTAAGATACTTCTCGTAAAAATAGAAACGTCAAATTTGATACAAATATAGGTCTTACCTATATAGTTTAATTAGTAAAGAAACAATCTGAAAATTGTATTTTTTTTTAAATGAATTCCCCTTTAGAGGAGGGTAGTTCTAAATGAATATGTATTTATCTATTTGATTGAAAAAAATTAACTTCTCCTATAAGTTTCACGTTAAATTAAAATTTTTATTCTGAAATTACGATTCAATTTTATCCTAGTTGGGTAATTCAATTGTTTGATTATAACAGATTTTTATATTAAATCACCGATTCTCACGCAGTCCAAACAAACGTCCTCTTAATGATGTCTTCATTGTATATTTTATATTAATTTCATACCTCATTCAGAAATTGGCTAATTTTTAGTCTATACAAATAAAATAGCAATGCTCACGAAAGTCGAATTGAAGAGAGATTAGAAACTAAAGAAAGAAATAGATATCACTAAATTATTGATGAGATGATAATTTTAAAAATAGAGAGTCTGGAACTTGACCCTTATTTCATTTTTGAGTTATTTCAATTATGACGTGTACTTTTTTCTGTCTAAATTTAACTTTTCAAATAATTTTATTCTAATCATCAACTTTAGAGGTGGTTTTGACTAGCTTTTGCAAGAGAGAGTTCATACAATATTATATAAATACAGTAGCGATTTCCATTAATTTTTTTGTGTTGTCGTTGTACTAATCGAAAATACTTTAAATTTCAACGAATACTTAATATATTAGCTATCACTTTCTAGACGTGGTACGATTTTAAAAAAATACTAGTATGTTTTTTAGTTTGATATAGTAATTTTAAATGTTCTAGTTCTTTTAGTTTTCAATTTGGTTTTATGTGCTTGAAAGTTTGATACAACGTTCTTCATAAGTTATTTTTATGATATCTATAATCACTTTTTTGTAAAAGTTCCAATAAATTACAAGATGTGTAAAAAACAGTTATTTTCCGTACTACTGCTAGAAAATTTTCTATTCATATCAACGAAACTTTTTTGATTTCATACAAATAATCAAAAGTTTCGTACAAGATTTGTTGTTAGTTGTAATCTGTAGTAAGAATTAAAACAAATTAATTTGTATATATATATATATATATATACACACATATATATGCATACAGTAGAAGCCACTTATAAGGAACACCTTTGGACCAAGATGAAATGTGTCAATTAACCAATTGTTTTAATAAGTGAATGGTTTTATTTGCTATGAAAAAAAAATATATATATATAATTAATAAAAAGGTATCTACTGTAGAAAATAAATAAATAATTTTATTTGTTATGTAAAATATGTACCTACTTATTTATCGATGTCTGTTTTCTTGCATCAAGTAACTTGATAGCCATGTTTTTAAAATAATAATGTTGCTCAAAGCCGAAAGACTAACCACTTCTTTACGTTGAACTAAAAAATAATAGTAAAGAGTTAAGTATTAATAGTAAATACCTACTGTACTTACGATAAAGAACAGTAAAAATAAACGAAATTAAATGGACAAATGGAATTCCGTATTTATACGTAACGATATAGTAAAGATAAGATAATGTAGTACTGCAGTAGTATAGTAATACCTCTAATAAATTCTAATTATTTCAAATAATCGATGTGTTATTTTAATAATCCGATTGATTTTCAATGTTTTATTATATAGCCGATCCGTCACTAGACATTTTGTTTGAATAACACGATTGTATCATTAATCCGTGTTCCTAATAAGCGGCTTCTACTGTATATATATATTTTTTTTTTTTATAATATTTATAATTTATACTTAACTATTTTTTTTAATTAGCAAGGAGATAAATTATAAAAAAAAAATTACAACTTGTTATTTTGGGGAATGAGGAAACCCCACGTGATATGTAATACAATTTTCAATTTAATTTTCATTCATTCTTGAAAATGATAAAAATTGTCAAAGCATTCAACATTCTATACCATTTAATATTGAGTAATTGCTAAAATTTAATTTCAAGTTGTATCTTAAAAAAAAAAAGGTATTTTAAATTTATTTACGGATAAAATCCATTCGTCTTTCTTAAGACGAATGAACATTTTTCTTTCGTAAAAATATTAGGTCTTAATAGCTAATTTACCCGTGGAATATAATAAAAAGATATTGATAATAATAATAATCTGAATTACAACAGCAAAGTATTAAAGTTACTTACGTTTTTAAAAATATTGAAAAGTGCCTCGATACAGCGCTTCCAACCACCATATAAAAACGTGGATATCTCCTTCTATTACAATTGGTCATTCCTTTAATAACGATACAACACGAATCAAAAAATTTAAAATACCGAGCACTTCTCTAAAGAAATTTACTATACGCAGCAAAATCAATTGTTTTAAATTGAATACTAATTACTAACATAAGAATATTAATAAATAGTAATGATTTTAAAATATAAGTCGCATTGTGACCTAACATTATACGTGTTAAAACTTTTATTTCTTCGTTTTTGGCCGAGCATGTGTTACTTACCTAATTTCTAATTCACGTCTCCTTTGTGTCCATTTCCTTACCCAATCTCTTTTATATTTGGTTTTTGTTTTTGTTTTAAAATAATTGGTTTGCCAACTAGACACGTAACTAGGATTACATAATTAGGGTGGTCTAATTATCACCAACATTTTTCTTAGGTGGACAATATTAATTTCCCTTCTCCCACTAGTCACTAATTTAATTTATAAGTATGTTTATATTGTTTAAAATATAATTTTATTATTCTTGGTTGAATGATAATGTTATGTTTTCATAATTTTGTTTAACATTTTGTATTGAATATTTGAGCCTTGGGCATTTCAACTATAAAATGGGGTGACCATTGAAGTGGCCTGTAAATATTTTGGGTGGCTGAGCGCCAACAAATTTAATAACTGTTATAATAAACATATATTTTAATGTAACGTAAATCTTGTATTTCAAATTAAATTTGAACATATTGTAATTTTTGTGTGTAATGAACTTTTATTATATTATTCACTTTATGTTTTTCTTAATACCTAGTTTTCAAAACTTATTGTATAATATAAAGTTTATATAAAAATGGAGCTGATATTGGAAAAAGATGTGGCTATTGTTGTAAATGAGTAGTTGGGGAGGTGGGATACATAGGTATTTAGTTTATACCTGTAACCAACAATAAATCATTGAAAACGAAAAACGATTAGGTTTGAAGTTCAGTTATACATGTTTTGAAAGGCCTTAATATTTACGATTTTCATCAAAATTTGATGTTAAAATTCCTTTATAAAAAAAAAAACTACTACGTAAAACTCAATTTTTTTTTTTACCAAAAAGTACGAATCGAAGTGTTGGCGCGAGATTTGGAAAAGACAAAAGCTTATCAGCTCCTGTTAGCAATTTAGCAGGAGGAAGATCGAAATTAAAATTATACAGCAGAAGTGACAACTACCAAAGCAACAGCGTTAATCTCAACACACAAATTATTTACCGTCAAAAAATTATTAAAAAACTGGTATATAGTAAATGATTTTTCTGGTAAACTTACGTTATGTTAAGTGTAATCCGCTTATTTGGTACTGAGAACCCAAACAAGTTTAATATCGGCTGATTTTCTTAAGTTTTTTGCAATTATTAATTCAAAAACTACAATAATGCAATTTATAATGTATACAATATACATACTAATGAAAATAGTATTTAGTAACACTGCGTTCGTCGTGCACAACAGCAAGCGAAAATAATATTGTAATAAAGAAGTACAAAAACGTACGTAGTTATGTTTCATCGCATTCCGGAGAACTTTCTTTCAGTTTCTTCGAACACGTTTAATCCTTCGGTGACGGCGATAGTCGTCTTTTTTCCAATCAAACGGCTTACGTCCGTTATTAACGGTTCACTAACAGTAGTATCGAATAGTATATTTGTACGACTGTTGTTGTGTCCATATTCTATTAAGATCAAAAACACGTAAAAAAAAAATTGAAGAGTACTTTTGCGAGAGAACGATGTATTGTGAACTATTTTATAACATGTTAATTGTTACGTAGAAATAATTTACCCTAACAACCTAGTGTTCTCATAAAAATAAACAGCGATTATTTTTAACATTAACACTAGATTGCCCATAAATCGTAATCACTCTTGTATTGGCCACATTTTTATTAAAAGTAATGACCACCTAATAAGTACAGTAAATTCTGGTGTGCTACAGACTGATATCACTGACCATTTTTCAACCTGTTGTTCTATAACTATTAATAATGTTTACAAAACTAAAGAAGATATTTTTCCAGTAATTGATCATGACAAAATTAATAGGATTTTGTGTGAAGAAAAATGGTCTGAAATATACAACGAAATCAGTGCTAATGAGTGTTGTGATGGATTTCAAAAAACTATATATAATGCAATTGAGAAATCTACTTCTTATAAAGTATTAACTTCCAAAACAAGCGTTTAAAAGAGTGGATGTCAGCTGACTTATTACGTTCCACACGTCACAAGGAAGCCCTTTCATTAAAATTTAAACAAAATCCAAATAATTTAAAATTAACACTACACTAAAAAAAAAATAAAAGAATAATTACACCAGTATTTTAAGATTATCAAAAAATAATTTCTATGATAAGACATTTAAAAGCGTCTCTTATAAACAAAAACTAACGTGACAACTTAAAAATGAAGTAACGGGATCTAAAACTAAATGCAAGGATAACTTTGAAACTGTAATAAGTAATGACAGGTATATAATGCTAATATGGAGCCGAAAGTAGTATCAGATATTTTTAATGCATTTTTATTAACATAGGAAAGCAACTAGCTGAGAACTCCGGTAATGTGTTAAACAAAGAATTCTTTAATGTTAATAATAATTTCTCATTCGACAATTTATTTATTAAAAAGATTGAGAACTCCAATATTCTAAAAATGTTCGATAACATTAAAGATGACACTGCGGCTTTGATAGAGTAACAATTAAAATATTAAAACATATTATTGGTTTGATAGGTAATCCACTTGCTTACATTTATAACTTAAGTATACAACAAAGTATTTTTCCTGATTGTTTTAAGACTGCGGTGGTTAAGCCTCTTTTAAGAGGTGGGGATTTTAAAAATATAAACAATTATAGGTCAATATCCTTGCTTACGTATTTTCCAAATTTTGAAGAAAATAGTTAAATCTAGGTTAATTAATTTTTGGAGGAAAATCAACTGCTATCCAAAAATCGATTAGGCTTTAGACCTGGCTTTAGCAAAGTAATAGCTATTTTTTTGGATCTAGCTAAAGCCTTTGATACAGTTAATCATAAAACTCAAATACTACCTAGTTTTGGAATAAATAACCGTAGTCTAAATTGATTTCGTAGTTATCTAATAGATAAAAAACAAAGAGTCAAAATAAATAACGTAATTTATATAAAGATAACTTTATCATATATGGTGTTCCTAAAGGCAGTGTTCTAGGTCCTATTTTGTTCATCTTATACATAAACTGGGTATGTGATTTAAATTTGGATGGTCGGGGTAGTCTCTTACACTGATGATACGTGTCTACTTTTCATTGGTAGGAAGAAGTTCATTCTAAAGCCACGATTGGTATGAATGAAGTTCATAAATATCTTAATGACAAAAATCTAATATTAAATAATGATAAAACTATGTTCATGACCTTTTCCATGTATAAAACTTTCCCAAATATTAATGTAATAACTATACATACCCGCACTAATAGTAAAATATGTAACGTACACACTTGCAAACGTATTAAAGAAGTCTTAAGAATAAGATACTTAGGGTTTATTTTTAATAATAACTTAAGATGGCATCTTCATTCATATAATATTGTATAGAAACTACGTACAATAACATATAAATTTAATAAACTCAAAAACTTGATACCAAAAAAAAAAACTATATGTATGATATATTTTGCCCAGTATTAATGTTAAAAAATTATATATAACTGGTTATTTTTAGAATTAGTCTAAATTTTTAAATTGTATTTTGTAGTTATTACTTCTTTATTATTGTATGTAAAGTAAAAATTCAAGAAATTGTATAGTGTATAGTTAACGACTTGTTTATTTTTATTACTTATTTATTTGTTGTGTATCCATTATACATTAATATTTTTTAATGTTCACAATTTATTACATTTTTGTTAGATCATTTTTATAAAAGGGATTGATAATTATAAAATAGTATATATAATTAATGTATCTATATTGTTAATTTATGATGATCATAAAAAAAAATAAATATTAAGTACACTTGCAATTTTATAAATACACAGATTTTATAACTACTCGTGTATTTAAGCACACGTAAAATCGTTATTCTTATTTTAAATGCTTTTGAAAGTAAATTTGAATATTTTTAAGTTGGCAAAATTTTATTTTCCGAAAAAATTGCGAAATCTGCCTATACACAACCTTTGAAATACGTTTCTGTTATATTATTTTATCTTCGGATTATTTCGTCATCTATAATTTAATTATTGTTATTATAATATTTAGTATTTGAACTAAAGTATAACGATGCATTACGACCTGTATCGTACTAAAGGCAAACGCTGTTGATATTACCCACCCACGCAAAATTCCAAAATGAGTGGCACATCCTTCAAAACCCTTTTACTCTGCACATTATACAAACGGTTTGATACCTATATTATTATTGTATATATATATATACATGTCGCGTTAATTATTTAAACAATACGCCGAAATGGTCGGTTGTAATACGATACTTGCGTGTTCTACACCTACAACACCAGTCCAGTTTAATATGTAGGAAGTATCTGCATGATTTTAATGTTTCCTGTGCCATTATATTACTGGTATAGGAAGTTGTCAAATCGTGTATATACAGCCTATACACACACTCACACACACACATAAATCTACATCATATAATATACACAACTATTTAATAATTTTATATACTATTTTTCAATTTGGTTATTTATAAAATATTTTCATTATTTATTTGGACGAACTTTTACTGTACACATCAAAAAAATTAATGACGAGATTTCCTTGTAGTTTAAGAGTTAATAAATATGGCTGATTGGTTTTATCTTTTACCTGTTGATATTGCTAAATCCCAAATTCATTCAGTACCATTGAGTTGTGCATGCGATTTAGTTTTTTTTGGTGAGACAAATTTCAATTTTAGCACGTAAACTTTTTTATTTTTACAATTTGTATTTACTAAATGATCGTAGGTCGGATTTTTTCGGTGGGCCGTAGTTGGGTACCACTAGACATTTATTTTATAACGTATGTGGTTGTTAATCAATTAATTACTTTGATATGTCAAAAACGGATATTATATAAAGAAAAAGTTTGTTTAAAGCTTAAGTTTAATCATGCAACATTAAATTAATTAATAAATTATTTCAAACTAAAATCGTCGATACATATTTTAAAATCCATATTTATAATTTGTATACATTTTACATTATACGAGGTTTGACTATTAAATAACGAGACTGCGCGCGCAGAAAGCGTTCCAAAAAGGTTAGGGGAAAACCGAATACAGCGCTGGTTAGCTGGAAGTATCTATTATGCCAGGTCAAAATTGGGTTTTTGTTGGTGCATTAGTATTTTTTCTGTAGCGTTTAGAAACGAACATGTTTTTTTCTCTTGCCGAAAACGATGTGTGACGAAAAACATGAGCAACGGATAAACGTAAAATTGTCTCGTTTAACTAAAAAAAAACTCCAACTGAGTGCTATAAGTTGTTAAAAGAGGCCTATAGTGAGGATTTCCTATCTCGGGCGCATGTTTTTGAGTGGCATAAATTATTTTCTGAAGGTCGAGAGTGCACCGGAATCCAATTCAGTCGTAATCCAAATTCAAAACCATGCTGATCGTTTTCTTCGATATCAACGACATCGTGATGACTTAATGGGTTCCAGAGGGTCAAACTGTGAACCAAAATTACTATTTGACAGTTTTGGCAACATTGCGCGAATGAGTTCGTAAGAAACGGTCGATATTGTGGAAAAACAAGTCGTGGATCTTGCACCAGGATAACGCACCTGCCCATAACGCGCTGTCTGTGAAGCGTTATTTGGCCGTTTAAGGCACTCCAGTACTCGAACACGCGTCTTACTCACCCGAGTTGGCACCCTGCGACTTTTACTTGTTTCCGAAGATAAAGTCTGCCTTAAAAGGAATCCAGTTTTACTCGATGGAAGAGGTGAAACAAAAATCGGCGGAACTCCTGAATGGTCTTACGAAAATAGACTTCCAGCACTGCCTCGAGCAATGGAAGAAACGAATGAAACGGCGTGTGAAGAGGGGAGGAGAGTATATTGAAGGGGAACATTTGGTTGTGGAATAATTTTTAAAATAAAACCATTTTTCATAAGCAGTCTCGTTATTTAATAGCCGGACCTCGTATACTCTTACAATTAAATTATTTAACAACATTTTTCTAATTAACATAATATTTTAGATTCTAAGTGGAGCAAGAAAGCTTGTGATTTTACAATAATGTTTATTTTTTTTTCTGGGAACAATTTTTCTACCAGAGGACTAGCTCCGACTTTTACGTGTAGCAACTTTTCTGAATGAAAATCGGTGTGAGTAAGATCGTTTTTCGATTTTATCATGAGTTTTCTCATAAAATGCGAAAAACTGGAAATAAACGTAGGAAAATCAGCAAAAAAACGGTGAAATATATTTCATATATTTGTATATTATTACGATTTTATTTCTTTGGACAACCTTTCTACCAGAAATTTTGCTAAAACTCTTAAAGACAGCGATATTTCTGAAAGAAAATTTCACTGAAGAAGTACTAAAAGAGATCGTTTTTCGATTTTCCCCGAAGTTTTCTTATCAAATACAAAAAACCGAAATAAAAACCAGAAAAATGTAAGAAATGAAGGTATTAGCTAAAACTATTATGATCTTCTTTTTTTCCGTGGACAATTTGACTACCAGCAATTTTGCACCAACTTTTAATGATAGCAATTTTTCTAAAAAGAAATTTCACTGGGAGTGTACTTTAGAGAGGTCGTTTTTCGATTTTCTTCGAAGTTTTCTCGCAAATGTAAAAAACTGGAAATAAACGTAGGAAAACTGGGGAAATCGGTGCAACATTAAACAAATATTATTAAAGAAAATATATAGAGCCTACTTAATTATTTACTATAATAGAGTATACAGAAGTATATTGTTGACAAAGCATCACTATCAGCTGCATTCAGAATAGTTTTTTCGTAAGCAATGGTTTATCGTTGCTTACAGGTATACAGTGGCTGCACCCGTCCATATTATCCTAGAATGTCTTTTTTACAAACAAAAGTATAATTTTTTCTTACAAATAATCTTGATTCATTATTATTATATCTATGCAATGACTCGAATCGTTTTTAAATTTTTGTATTGCTCAGATCATGTATATGATCATCGCCACCTACAATTATTTTTGGTGTCAAGGTAGAAAGGAGCTTAAGTTAATTTTGACATTTTTTTATACTTTTATTTCGTACAATTTGTAACCCTGTATTTTTTATTGTAAATGGTCTAAGTATATGTGTTTTCAAAATTAAACTGTATTGAAGGTATATTAGTATATTATAGTGCTTGAAAAGTTCTGTTTTAAAAGTTATTTAAATTAATAGGAATTTATAAGAATAAAGGAACAAACAAAAATCATTCATGTTCCTCCAAATAATTAACGAAATTTATTCCATTACGTTTCTTTATTATAAATCCATTACGATAGATTTCCTCTAAAAGTCTAACAAAACTTGTTCCTTTGAATCAGTTCTCTTCAAGCAGTGGTGTATTAGTGTATGTTCAATATAAGTGTAAATAGTGTAAATATTTTCTAAATTTAGTTTATATTGATAATTAAACAAAATTGATTTAAGCATTTCTTCCTTGAGATCAATGATATAATTCTGTAAATTATATCAGATTTATGATGACGTTTAAGTTTTTTTCTTTGATCCGAAGTCGTTATTTGCCTTCTATATATGTTCGTTTTATCCGTTTTATAATATTATATCTAGGAAAAAAGATTGGTTTTTAAATCGTACCTGTATATGATGATGTAACTGATGTTTGCTTGCATAAATCTAAACTTTAATAATTTAAGCTCTTAACAGAGAGAAAAAAAGCATACACATCATAGTAAAACCAATAGATATTATTATAAGCAATATTATGAATTGATATTAGGTACACGGTAAAGTAAGCAACTAACAAATTTAATAAACCGACAGCGGACTCTTCGACAATAAGCGTTTATGCTGCAGTATAATATAACTACTGTATAAGTCACAATATTATTAAAATATAGTCTTGTTAAATATTCGAATATTTGTATTTAAATATTTCTAAAGTAATATTTTGTTTTATGGTTCTAAGAATTTTTAATACGATTTTTACAATTTACACATGTATTGAAAAACGTTTTTGAATTTATTTGAAAAGTATTTTTTACAAAACTGTTATAATACCTGTATAGGTCAAATCTGCACACCAAATACACTCATTGATAATAATAATATTATCGAGTACAGACCATTAGAATAATAATATTGTTATTTTATAACGATTCGGAAATACATATTTACATACAACTATCGTAATGTGTATACTCCAAATTCGAAAAAACGGTCTAACTACATTATATTCAAATTTATTTGGTTATCGTTATTATGGGATTTTCGTGAGTAAAAAAAAAAAATAATAATGAATAAATAATTGTAATAGGGTGATAAACATGCACGAGGAGAAGACTTATATGTAAGTGCCGTGGCTTTTATTTAATCGAAATCACTATATAATAATAATATAATATTATTTATCATAGAGCTGATAAAGATTCAGACCATTTACTAGTTGACATTAGAATAAAAGTGAGAATTTTAAAGCAGAAGAAACAACACAAATATGGGACTATTTGATACAGCAAAGCTAACGGATAAGGAAATATGGAAGGAGTACGAAGAATGTTTTCGGAATATTGTTAAAAGTAAGCAATTTATAATGAAGGGAGGTATAGATAAAACCTGGGGACATATCAGAGAAAGTATAAGTGAAGCATCAACGAAAGTGTTGGAGAAAAAACAATCAAAGATGAAACCATAGTTCAATTGGGTATGTTAATAAATAGTTCTCAGGAGAAAATTAGCAAGACAAAAATGGTCAAATGATTCCAGCAATGAATGAATGCTAACAAGGTTCAGAACTCACTATAGAAAAATAACATACTGAGGTATAAAAATAGAAAGTACGTTAAAAATACATTGGAAACGATCGAATTAGATACTATATCGTCTATTGAGACTATTCTCTATAGATTGATCTCTATTAGAGTCTTAGAGACGTTTTTAAAGACAAAAAAAAAACTAGCGTCAAGATACAATGCCTTATCAGCACACGTTACTTATCAGTATCACAATATAATGGCAGTTACCCAATCACAGAATTAGTCAATAGATAGAGTCAGTTGATAATAATTATTAAAATATACAATTGTTTATTTTATTTAAATTTTTTATATTTTGAGCAAACGAAGGAATGTATTGGTTTTACGTTTATTTATTTTATACTGTGTAAAAAATGTCTACCAGAAATCTTTTCCGATTTTCAAGTGTAGCATTTTTTTCTGAAAGGAAAGTTTCTTAAGGCGGTACTTTAAGGAGGTCATTAAAGGTCATTTTTTGATTTTCCAAGTATTTTTATAATAATTGGAAAAATTTTAGGGAAAATGGGACAATTTACGAAATTTATTATTTTTAAATTTGTTTTTTTTTTAAAAGCTGTGGTTCAGTTTAAAATATTTGTGGGGCTTAAAATTTAGACAGAAAACTTTTCTAGACGAGGAAAACTGTTCAAATTATTTTAGCCATTTTTGAGCTATTTAAAGATATTTTAATTTTACGCGATTTGTTTATAATTAGTATATTTTAATTCGGCAGAGAAAATTATTTTACTAAACAGAAATGCTGGAAAATTTAACTTTAGGTTCATTATGAGTCGTACTTTGTAGTCAAAAAAGAAAAAAAATTGACTACAATGTAGAATTTTTTTTAAAAAAGAATTTTTATAACATATTTTAACGAAAATCGTAAATATTTCGGCCTTTCAAAACATGTATAACCAAACTTCACTCAGGATATTTTTTGTTAGCGATAATTAAGCGTTACGTACAAATAAAAAAGTAATATACATTTAATTTACCTCTATATCCTACTTTCCCAACTTCTCATCTACAACAGTGGTCCTCCCATCGTGAGAAGTATATCAGTCTTCAAGTATGTTCAGTTTTTTTTTATAATTCAACCACAAGGACAGTATATACTGAAAAATACCGTTATAGGTACTAGTAAAAACTAGGGTCTAAACAAATACCGAATATCAGTGACTAAATTCTCAATACCGCCAGCTCTACCGTATCAATTGGCATCAAATTGTGTACATTTATTTCTTGAGATTCAAATAAGGTTTGTAGCATAAGTGCAAATAGGAGGGGAAGTGACTCGGGAGACAACCCCTAAGAAAAGATTTCGTTACAGTTCAACTCTAAAAGGATGAAAAGAAATTGAAAAAAAATATATTTTTAAAAATGTATACGAGCAAAAACGGTTGACTACAGTGATAGAACGAGGATGAAAGCAGGGAGTTGCGGGTAAATGCGTTTTTATTTTTTATTTTTTTTTTTGCGTTCAATACTGACACGGGCAAAGCCGTGCGAAACAGCTTGTTATGAATAAACAGGTGATATAATTATATATTAGTTCATGTCACAATCTGATAACAGTTTATGTGGTTAATTTATGACGGTTTTAATAATCATCAACATCACTAAGCATTGTCGTCCAAACTAAACTATAAATAAATTGTAGGGAAAATTCATGACGATATGTTTTGACTATACACGAACGGGTAATTAACAATAATTTATATTTTTATTTTGGTAACTGTTCATATTTTGTCGCTGTCTGGAATTTTTATAATTAATTATCTTAAATTCTGTTTTTATAATCCATACAAATATAGATTATAAAAATTGATATAGAAATTACAAATAATCTACTTGATAAACGACGTTGGTGAGTCACAAAATATTTACAACTAAATTAAATTTCGTAAAGAAGAATATTTCATTTGAGGATGAAGATTGCATCGTTTTAAAATCATTTCATTGCAGGAATCTATTTATTTTTTTTCCGTATCGTATGGTAAAAAGGTATACATTTTATTAAATAAACATCCATCATTATTTGACTACTTGTATTTAATACTATATAGTTAAATAAAATTGGAACCGAAAATACCGACAAATATCAGCATCA